TGTAAGGAAACTAGTTCAATCCTTGCATGTGAAACCTTTTAGTTGAAAATAACTTGTCTTGAGCTAGAGCAACATGAATCTGTCCTCATGATCCTATCCCCTTTGGACGATAGTTCGTAAGTTTTACACATCACCGATTTCATTAAAAATTTCACTATCTAAACATGTATCGTTTCAATGACGATTCGTGCAGAATCAGCTGGTTTTATGCAGTTATGCAATTTAGCTGATTGTGAGCGATATTATTATTACTATTTCGTCGTTAGGTTATAATTCTACCGTAACACTTCTCAATTGTGAATATATGCAGAGAGCTGTGGCAGAATGTCTTCGGGCATGCGATGGCGACTATCTATATTAGAGCACAGTGCATTTCTCCTTGAGCAAATCTTGATCTGAATTGACGACTATTGCCCTAACGCGGCAGTTATCGTGGGAATTGGAATACAGCTGTCTAAGAGAATGTCGATTACCATCATGAATGTGCTAATAAGATTGAACGTAATGGTCATCTGAACCTCAAAACTTCGTTTTGGCAATGTAGCGGGGTCACTCGCTTTATATAGATCCATACATAGATGCTTGAGATGCATATCCTTAACAACGATCCAAAAGAACATATTTCAGCTCACCTATGCAGCTAATTGGGCATCACTTTCTCGAAGAAGTATAGGGTCAGTGACGATACCAGAATTCACGAATGAACTTACTGGGAATGATTGTGTCGTATCACAATCTTTATACGCCTACCAAAAATGTGCGATCGGTAAAGCTGGAACTTCTGCCATATGTGGTGTGAATTTTGCTCAGTGTCAACCAACAGAAAAGCAGGGTACGTTCACAGCTGAACTGACTGTAGTCTTGATGGATTGGCAAATAGAAAGTTTGAAGAAGGGCATAACGATTGGTATGCAGCAGTTCAATGTTGAAAACATTGGACCGGCAACCATTACTATTTCATAAATTAGCCGCTGGCTAGATCAGAATCTGATAACCACTGGAGTTTCATTATCTTATTGATCTGTNCCAGCATTCAATTAAATCCGTTTGAATTAGGCCTACTTTCAGGCTCAAGCCTCGCACTAAGCTTAAGAGACAGATTAAAACTAAAAGGAAGGGAGGGTGCATCGGTACAATTCATATGTTCCCTCGTAACCTGGAAACTATACTTTCAAACGTGCAGTTACATCAGTTATTGTATTCCCGTTAGCAATTTTTCATCAAATGCAATGGTTCCAAAAAATGGCCATCATCCTCCCAAGCATCCAACTATAGACACTATGCCATCCAGCATTCGATCACTAATTACGAATTGATTACACCATTGAAATTTCTTACAATTAGCCTATCAATTTGGCCAAGTCATCCGTCCATATTCATCCGACAACATGAAGAGTTCAACACATAGAATATCTGCATTCAGGAAAAAATATTTTGTCGGGCGATTTTGCTTTGTTGAGGTGATATAGCTATTTTATTAATGCTATCATCTCAACTAGCGCAATGCTGCTCACTCATATTAGTTGAGATAGCTTCAATAAAATAGCTATATATCCTCAACTAAGCAAAATCGCCCGACAAAATATCTTATTTTCTGTATCCAGAAATTCTGCTCGATCAATTGGTGTGAAGAATTTGATATGTTACTGGGCAAACCTAAGAAGACGGCCGGCTTGAATGTGCTAACCCCCATAGTATCAGGAAAATTGCTATATCTCCTTGTAGAGGAGGAATTTCTCGGCAATCTTTTCATTTTTAGAAAGCAGAGATTCTGTTCAATCGAATGGTATATGAAAATTAATATGTTACATGGCAAACCTAAGGAGGCGTTAGGCTTGAATGCATCAAACCTATATTTCTATTGTAATGTATAATATCTGTTGATCTATAGTGATACCATGCATATCAATGACTACCATTGCGCTAATTGAGATAGCTTTAATAAAATAGCTATATATCCTCAACTAAACAAAATCGCCCAACAAAATATATATTTTTCGGAATGCGGAGATTCTGCTTGATCGATTGGTGTGAAGAAATTGATATGTTAGTGGTCAAAGCTGAGAGCACACTAGGCTTGAATGTGGTAAACCCCATAGCATCAGGTAAATTGCCTTGAGATAGTATCAATAAAATACCTTTATCTTCTCTAGTAAGCCATATTGCTCAGTAAAATCTAGCTATTTTCTTAGATCTATCTCGAATAGTGAGTTGATATCAAGAAGAGGAGAAGATGGAAGTTAATGTTGTGGGTTCGCAACAGTTTTGGTTAAACTCTAATATCAAGTGCACCATTTTAAAATTAATTGAGTCTCAGGTTCGCCCAGCAGCATGCGAGTTCTTTGCTGAATCAGATTCAGAAGATTCTCTGCTACCAGAAAATCGTACACGTTGTCGATGGATATGGCTCACTTTTCCAGATATAGTTAGAATCCTCAGGATGTGTATCATTTGACTGAACATTTCTTGATTCTGTGGATAAACGCTGCTCTTGAAGATGCAATTTTTTTGCAAGGGTCATGCAACATTGTTCAGTTTTGCAACATTTTCTTGACATGAGTCGATCCATCAAAACAGGAATAGAGCCTATCGCTCATAAAATGAATACATATTCGGGGACTGATCAGAACAAATGATTTAGAATATGATCAGAACAAATGATTTAGAAATTTTCATGAATATGATTTTCAGCACTGTTATGCCACAGAACGGATCTGTTTCCCCCTCTTTCCTTCCCGTAACTGAAGGAAATATTGAAGATTCCATCGATAAACCCAGGTTACACAAGGTCTTATTCTCGGCTTAATGTAAGCGATAAATTTCTTGCATTTAAATAATCGTTTCATGGTGTGGCAACTTATTCCGCACATATCAATTGCCTTGTGATTCTGAATGTAATGAGAATTTGCAGTCAAGAAATGAATAGAGTGAAGATTCAGAAGATGAATATGAATGAGAGTGAATCAGTGATACGTCTGCAATGAATGAGAAAAGTGTCACTGCACAATGGGACTGTAATGCAATCAGCAAGGTTGGAAATGAGAGTGATGAGACATCACTGGAATTCGACGTAAAAACTGATGATGGAATGTGAGTGGTGAATAGAGTGCAGGTGAATAGCTTCTGATGGAAGTTGCTATTCAGAAGGCATACACGCTTTCCATACTCCCACATACAGCTTTCCTTCAACAGTCTATCAATGAATCCTATGTCTGATTTCCATGCTCTCTTATCACTCTCATTACTAAAATAACTTACTGCATTACAGTTCCACTGTGTGGTGATAGTTTTCTCATTCACTTCGGCCACATCAATGATTCGCTCTCATTCGTGATTCTCTGCAGAATCTGTAATATATTCACTCCTTAACATCACAATTTCAGTTCCATTTGCTTTTCAATGCAAATGAAACCAAACAAGCGATTTGGCGAAGGAGCACAGTGCATTTCTCCTTGGACAAATCCTGATCTGAATTGACGACTATATTGCCCTAACGCAGCAGTTATCGTGTCAATTGGATCCGACAAATCTTGACCCTACCCAGTAACCTGGACTTAGCATTTCCACAAATCTATCACTTTTATCGAATTACAGTACTCAACACGGTATTTTATTCAGTCAGTTGATTGAGGTTATTGAATTTCAGAATATATTTATTGCATGAGCCGATCGCCATCATCTGCCGCAAGAGCGGTTTCGGATCACGTCGATCCTTTATCGGCACTATGGGCTGCCGATGAGTCATTGGTACCGAGAAATTTCAGCATCGAACCTGAACACAAAACAGTGATTGTGTTGGATCATTCACCGAATTTTGCTGCATCGTCCAAAAATGTTTGTTGTTTTTATTAATGTCACAAATTGTAGAACAACGAAGTACTCAAGAATCCCAGGAAAACTAATCTTATGAAATGAATCACTACTGTTCATTTTTACCGTTGCATTTCGGTTGTTCGATATGCAACGTTTGAACGCATTTTGAGATTTTTCGCGGTTTGACATTTTTTCATTCTGGATAATTTCTCAATAATAATTTCCTTTGATTGCTCACTTAAAATAAGGAATTAATTGAATCGATGAACTAGCAAATTTTAGTGGCGAATCTTTGAATTGTGACATACTTGTATTGTACTAGAGCTGACTTGATGACGATCGTTGGTGTTTAGTGTATGGAAATAATGGTTAAAGACTCATCAACATCACAGTTACGATTGGGCAGTGTTGTGGAGAAGAGTTTGTGGACGTGCGCAACGGAATGCGCGATTGAGTTCCGCCGTATCGTTGATGAGATTTATCCGGATGGAAGTCGACTGATACGTTTCGTGATTTCTGATTTCGTGGCCAGATTCCTGACATCTGCGTGGGGATGTAAATTGGTTGAGCAGGATAAAGTTCGTTGTTATGACAGTGGAAATTTCAATATTTTCAACATTTTTTTGTGAGAAAGTTTCATAGCGTGCCGAAGCATCAAGTATTGTTTCAAAATCAGATGGCTCATTGTTTTTAGCTGTTTCAATTGCTGTCTGGATGCGAAGTGCCCGATGCGAAAGCGGACACCCTGTCGTGTTCGATAATTAACGGTATTTCGATGGCGGTTGAAGCGATCAGTGAGCTGAGTGATCTCCAGAAGAAATATATTCAAATATTTCAACGAATCAATCCAAACGTCAACCATAACAATGGAGGAACACCTAATAAATCAACGACATCGCCTTCAGCAACACCAACAACATTAACGACAATCAAGCGAAATTCATTCAATGCCATTCAGAAACTCAAAATTGAGCCAACGCCCGAAAATAAAAAGTTTAGAATGGTATTTATTTATTCAATTATTTAATTTATCTACCTAGTTTCTTACTTTAGTTAGTGATTTTTTGAAGCATTATTTCTACACTTCAGTCTATATCATGGATTGGCGCAAAACAGCCTGAGACTTGGATAAAACTGAATTCGTATTCTGCAAAAGTTGTGAAAGACTGAAAATTTTGATGTAGTTTGTGCAGAAAGGAATGTCTGTAATTGAATTTATCATGAGGAACTTCTGCAGTCAGGGAGAATTCATTGAATTCTTTGGAGATATTTGAATGATGAGTTTAGAATCGTTTGGAATCAATGAAGAAAAAATTCAATTATGCGTTGCGCAATTGGCTGGTAAGAGATGAAGAGAGCATGAAAAACTGTATGCGGAACGCTGGATCCGTTGTGGTGTTTACAACTCTGCAAAGGTTTCTCTTCGAATCAGTCCAGCTGTTCATAATTTCATTGCTTTTATTGTTGTTTAATATTCGAGGTCTCGCTGTTATTCCATTGATGCTATTATAGCGATGAGGATGTGACAATGATTGTGAAACATTTAACCGAAGAAATTACGAGTCGTAACAAAATCATCAACGCGCTAGACGGCGATAAGAAGTTTGTTCATTTATTCGCTTATAGCACTGATCATGTGTTCGTTTGAATCTTGAATAGTCTTTCTATTGTTGACTTTTGTAATAACTATTTTCAAGCTTCACCCTGACTGCTTGAATCCACCGAAAAATGCCAGTTTGATTCGAAAGGTTCTGAACGTTGAAAGTTCTGACCAACGTTGATTTCAGTTTCGCACCAATTTCACATGTGAATCTTTATGTAATCAGTTTACATCCAGTTGGAGTGTTAAAAGGTGATGCAATTTCCATACCACAGCAAAAACCTCTGGCCAAGGTTGGTGTTGTTTTGCATTTGATGTTAAGGTGGGAGTATTTTGGTTCTGATATGAAATGTTCGTAGGTGAATGAATACGTCTCATGTAGTGTGCTACGATCTGAAGCCAACGAAAGCTTAACGCCAATGGTGCATGGCGTAATCCTGGAACATTACAAGCTTGCATCTACCACAGTTACGAGTATACCGATGAAGGTATCTTGTTTGCTGCCTTAAATATAACATTGATAAAACAAAAATAATAGCAAAAAATGAGAATAGAGTGGTAATTATGAATGATGACAATTGTTTTGCGGAGTAAATGAAACTCTGGAAAGTGCGCGAAAGCGTGTGAATATGCTATCAATATAGTATCATCTAGCAGCAGTTGTATGATGTTATTTTGAGGAGGAGGCACAGCAAGGACAATCAGCCAATTACGATGTGGAAATATTCCATCCAAGACGAAGTCATCGTTTACTTCAAGAAATGAAGTTGATCGGTAATGAATCAAAATTACGAACTCGATCAGCTTGTGGCGCTTATGATACCATTAAGTTATCGTGGACTACACCCAATGCCAAAACCAAATGGGATCAGGTCACTGCTGCTGTCAATATTCGTAAATATTGATCATTGACTTATTCACTGCAATAATAATAATAATAATTCCAGTTTTCGTACAGTGTGTCAGCGTTGCCAATATCACCCGCAAGTCTCCACAGCCGTCCATCGGTGTGTCTCACTTCGTATTTACTCACGAACCGTAATGTTATGCTCGAGGTGAGTATTTGTCTATTGGATTGCAATTCAATTAATATTATATCCAGGAATATGTTTATAGTTTAATTCACTGTGCAAATTAGAGGTGAGAATTTTATGTTCGCACTTCGGTAACTCGAAGAAGTGAAAAGGACAGGTTTTTGAAAGGATAATAGTAAGGAATATTCAGGTGTTATGAATAAAGTTTTTCCGCTGTCATAAAATATTGGTGATTTTTGTTCTTCCGACTTCACTGAAGGATTCATTGAAGGTGTTGACGCAAGACGTTCATCCACCATGTGCTGTCTCATCGAACGTTGGTCAGAAGTTGGTATCGCATTTACTGATTTGCCATGCTGGACGAATCTACTTGCATACTGTACATATTGGAGAACACTGTGAGTGGTTTTGTTGTTAATGATTCATAACGCAACATTGATGAGGAAACCAATTTTAGAGACCGAATTGAATGCATTGTTCATATTCTCAAATTTGTTTTGTGAGAATTAAGTTAAAGTTTGAATAAGTTTTGCTTGTTGTTGTGAGTTTAGAGTGCATGAATATTGCAACTGCTTTACAAAGAGATTGAATTTGTATTATTGTCGTTGTTCTCTTCAGCCATTTTGAACGATGCCAAACTGAGCAATAAAGTGAAATTCAAGAAAGCGTCAGCGATGCGAGTTTCTGATTTTGCAACGTTGATGAAAGAGTCTCAACTGAGTTATACGAGCCCATCTGAAGAAAATGGTAAAAGTTGATCGTGTTTCTGCTTGCTAACTATTAATTATGAGCTTTGTTTTGTTATCGGTTCGAGTTTTGTTGTATGCAAAAGAAGGGATTGAAAGTGCAGATAATGGTGTTAACATAGGGGCGTCGAATTAATTCGTTTGTGATTTGTTTTTAAAACTTATTGTGTGTTTTGCTATTGGCAGTTGCAAATAATTCATCGTCTCCATCACAATCCTACAATGAAAGAGCTCGAAAACATCTCCGTCGTATTACACGTTACTGGCCAATCAAACTCTGCGATTCGTTCATCTACAATATTCCTATGGTTGGTTGCATTTCTTGCGGTTTGCTTAATACGGGGCAGTGTTACTTCGTTTCTTGTTTTTTTTCATATTTGAGAGATTGGGTTATCGTTTGCATTCAGCATAAGTTTATCACATTTTATTTATTAGTGCACAGTATGCTTGAACCGGGTGATGATGATATTTATATGATAAATCTGCATTTGACTTGAATGAGTTATTTTTTGTGGTGTATAAATAAGACTTTTGGGTTTATACTTATTTTGCAGCGTTTCGAACCACTTCTATCAACAATTCGTAAAAGTGAGCTGTCAACGAACGATGTGAACAGATGCAGAGAATGTATTTGTGCACTTATCGCTTCACGAGATTCCAAAGAGCCGTTCACTGCAAAGACGATAAAATGTAATAAGCTGAAAAATCCTGGAAATAAGTAAGTTTGTGATAATTTGAGGTGATATTTCATTGTAACTAACACTTCATTGCAGAAAAGTCTATGAATATCTATCTATTTGAATAATTCGTGATAATTTCACAAACGAGTGCGATTTCTTGTGAAACATTTTGAAGACTGAATGAGTTGCAGAGATGAGCAGTTTCGAGTGGCTTGCGACGAGTTGCTGAATCATTTGCATAATTATGTGAATCATTCAGAGAGACATTTGGAGGTGTTCAACATGTTTCTTCAGGTTAGTCGAGTATTATTGAATATTTTCATGTTTTATGTTTCATGTTGGTGTGCGATACGTATCTTCTATCAATGTAATTCTCGTTGCTGAATACTGCCTTAGATGAGGAGTGCATAATGCATTATTTGAAACAGACGGATTCATCGTAGTGTGAACTCGTTTCTTTACGTTATCTTTTTTTTGGTTTTTGTTTGTTTGCATCTTCAATGGGCAAATAGCGACCGACCGTTATATGTGCAGTAGTTGCTCATTGAGCGGTAATGCACAGAAGGAATTGAGTGAAGAACGTTTTCAGATTTCGGGACTGGATCGTGCTGTGAATATGTCAATTGCTGACGTTAATCTTACGGATCAAGTGTACGTTTGTTTTGGTATTGAATAACAACAGCATCTTTTTTTTGTTGGTTGTCGATTTTGTTTGTTCTGCTCAATGGCATGAGACTGGTTCGAGTAATGTTGTAGCAGCAGTTCGACGCCGCCAGTAACGCAGCCATCGATACGTTCAGTGGAAAGTCCCAGCTCATCGCCATCAGATAGCTATCGATCGATGAGTCGAAGTAATTCACCACTACCGAAGAAACCGAGGAAGAACATTCATATGTGGTCGCTTAATGGTAATCTTATATTGTTTCGAACAATATGGTGGTTATACGCTAGGAGGTGTACTGTTATGATAAGCACCATAATGTAATGAGCATAGGAAGATTAAAACCAGAGCGAGATAGAGCATATTATTAGGTGTGGCCGAAAGTTATCGGGCAGTTAGATGCAAAATTTCAAAGTTTCATAACTCGTTCCAAGATAGTTGAATGAAGGAAGAAAAGTATGAAAAGTGTCGATTGAACGGGCAGTATGATATGCCTCTTTATTGCGTTGACATACAGAATTTGGAGTATTATAGCTGTGTTTATTTTTTGCGTGAAGTAGTGATTGAATGTGCTTATTGAATTCAATTTTCAATTGAGCAATTTTGAATGCAATTCGTTCAGAGGTGATCAACGTGGCAGAATTGTTCAACGAGCGCTATCTGAAGGAAAGTTGGTCGAGATGGCAAGATTTTGTTGGGCGTGAGCAGGCTGGTTCAAAGGCAGCACATCTCTATCCAAACCTTGATCTCAGCAAATCTCATCGGAAAGGTGATAATGAATAGCGGGATCAATCGATTTTATCTGATCATTCGTATCCAAACGCCTCATCTGTTGTCGTTCTCATCATTCAATCAGATCGCGATCACTAGTGTTGATTGGTTTTGATTCCAGTACGGGTCATGAGTTAGTATGTGAAATTGTTGTGTCATGTGTAGTTTAGCGTCGTGAATAGTTTCCGAATGTTTTGCTCCTCTGTCAGTATATATCGTTGTATTCACGGTTGTTTTCACGATGAATATTGCAGTCGTTTTATTGTTGTTATTGTGGTTGTTGTTGATGATGGTGTTTTTATTGTTATTATTATAATCCTCATCACAAAGTGTTAGTACCAGCCAAATGTGAATTTATTCTGTTCTCATATGGAATGCTTGATTCCAAGCCTGTTTTGATGTTATTTCCTTCTGAAACTCTGATCTGGTTCGGTTGTTCTGTTGATACGTTCACTGTTCTCGTTACACTTCTTCCGCATCTGAATTTCAGATAAATTCAGCATGTAATGTAAGTGGTGCTGGAACTTGTTTTTTTTTCTGGATTTATTCTAGTGATACATAATCTTATCTGTAATTTGTTCTCATTTGAATGTTTTATTTTGAATAAACGAGTGTAATTGATATGCTCACTGCACTGCATTGCATCACCTCAGATATAAACATAATAAATATATCCAAGAAGTGAATGAGAGCAATAGAAAATTGGTTGAAAATAGAGATAAAGATTCATGAAAGGTTTTAGTGTTCGGTTCAGTTTTTCAGTCGTTTCAAGGAGACTGCACTTCAGCTGAGCAGTGCTGAATAAAAGATTCTTTCCAATGGTACGTAACGAAGCCACTGTTTGATACAAATAAATCTCACAAGAAATTTGGAACCATTAAAAACGACTTTGGGAGATTAGTGCGTTCGATGTGAAAGCATGACATGACGACTGATCTAATGAGCTGCAGCAGCCATAAAATCAGATCGATTTACATGACCAACAAAGAGAACAGTTGGACACACATCGATAAAACATTCTATCAACGTTTTATCAATGCATGTTATTGGTTCTTTTATCAGTGTATGTTCAGCTGTTCTCATTGGCAAACGCATAAATATTATTGGCCAACCGGACAAAACGTAAGCGTTGTTAAAAAGCCGAATGCTTGAACTCAAGTGTGCCTTAATATTTGGTGATGAGGTTGGTTGTTGCTTGATCAACAGTGTTGCCTGATCAATAGATATATTACACAGTACGAAAATACCGTAAAAGAAAACATGTTTAGAATGCGATGGATGTTGCATTGTAATCGCTTTGTACTCATATGCATACGAAATCGCATCATTTAGCTTGATCACTAATGTAGACAGTGTTTGATGCGCTGCTCCAACATAGGTGGATGGTCATAGAAAAAATTTGGAAACATTTTTTTTGACGAATGCTGTTGATTCATCCGAATTAACATATCTGATCGTAAGCAAATAGGAAACCTCCTCTCCATTTTTTTTCTGTTTGGCTAACAATAAACTCGAAATCGTTTTCGGTTTCTGTCGCATTCTCATGTTTTCAACCTTCACTCATTCCTGCTCTGTTAGGATCTTCAGACTGCTTATTTCACTAATTGATGATGTTTTTGAGGATGACTGAATGTGATTGTTTTTGCTGATTTGCGATGGTCTGATAAAAGTTTCATCATTTCGGAAATTGTTGAGTTGCGATCAGTTCACACTGGATCGCTCGTTTCACCTATTCATTTCCGCACCATGGAAAATAATTTCTTGTGAAATCATCTCATATTCAGCGCATTTTGGAGAATACGATGTGGTATCCAGTTTTTTGCGCGCATCCAGTTTGAACTCGTACAATTGATCCACATAGATCATTGATTACTGTATATGTCTACAATTGATCAGTCTTTTTGTTCAATAATGAAGTAAGAATTAAGCATAGTGATTATATCCTACATGAAGTGTAGTTGTTGGGGATTTGCAGTGAGAGTAAAATTAATTCATCGTTGGAAAGCAGCAAAATAAGAATTTAGAATTGCGAGGGCAGGTGTTCTTCTGTTGTTCCATTTTAACTGGGAAAGAAGATGAGTCGTCACGTTCAAATTGTTGTTGTTACGAATGATACAGCTGTTTGGTTCCTCATATTCCAAAAAAAACGTTCCTCAAAATTTTACCATAATAATAAAACATTGCAAAATAATGCCTATGAACATCCTGTTGTCTGCTGACAATGAGTTTCTTCAACCGAACGAAGTAAACTTCAAATTATTGGGGAATGATTCAGAGCGTCTTGTTTCAATTCAAAGTTTTGCATAAACACGGTATAAAGAAGTGATTTTTTTTGATAGTATGAAAGGCTTTTTGCGTTTGTCTTGTGATGTTCAGTATGACGAGAGTCTTAAATTTATTGAGCTAGCAATCTGAGCTCATCACAAGCGTCTACCTATCTGCTATCACTTCCAGCATTTCTTTACGCCTTTCATTTCACACAATGAGTGAGATTTTGCATTCTAAGAAGTAATTCATAAAACTCGTTTTTATCATTCGTTTAGCGATGCCTGTGGTCAGCCTTGATGGAAGTTGAGCTAAGTTATCGATAGCTTTGATTGCAGAATCAGCACTGGAACTCATGCAATCATCAGCAACGTTTTCGCGAAAGTTTTACTCGGACATTAGTAATGTGTGCCAATTCCCTAATAGAGGTTAAACCCATTGAAGTATCTGGTGATCAAATTTGAGACTCGTTTATGAGTTTCTTAAATTTTGAACTTCACGAAGTGTTGATTTTCGGAATTTCGTCAGCACTATGAATTGGTCTGCGATTCAGTGCACACACCATCTGCTAACTAAAAATTCTTTAGAGACACAAACTATCCGAATAAGACGTCCAATGAACGCTTTCATGGTTTGGGCACGTATGATGCGAAAACAGATAGCGACTGAAAATCCGGGAATGCACAACGCGGATCTCAGCAAGATTTTAGGTCTTGAAACACTTTCAATTCACTAGTTCCCGTTCCTGAACAAACCGGATTCTATCTTCGAGCAATTCTTACAGAGATAAATTTGGATGAAACCGAACAGTATGCTAATATTAGTAATGTTAGTGAGCCTCAAGCAGGCAACGTTTTGGCTGGTAAGGAATCATTTCTTTTGATATCATTCAAAATGGCTCTGGGAAAAGAATCTGATCGCAGTTGACTGCTTTGCATCAGTAACGGTGAACGTGTTTGAAGGTAAACAGTGGAAGGGAATGTCGCATGTGCAAAAGCAACCGTACGTGCAAGAAGCGGAATCGATCCGAGTGAAACATCTAAGCGCTCATCCCAACTACAAGTACCGACCGAAACGCAAACCCTCCACTCGCCAGTATCGTCAGCTCCCACTTATCTTCGCTCCATTTCTTTCTGACTTCACAATTCATTTTCGGCCGAAATCAACTCTTGTCTTCGTTTAATGCAAACCTCGAAAACGTCGCGAACATAAATGCAATATGATGATGAACTGACTCACGATCAGCTTCAAAAGCATATACTAATTAATTTCAGAGCGTTCACAACAATCGCTATTCTCGTGCAGTATTCATCAAGCACAAAACGAGGCCAGTGTAATTAACGTGTCCCACTGATATGCATGCATTAACCTCTCCATTTCGAATTTCTTGTACAAGTAACAAAAAAGATGAGAGGGGTATTTAAGCAATATGTTATCGTTTCTTGAAAGCGACACTGTCGAAAAGCGATCCAGCTGTAAGCTGGTGTCTCTTGCATCATTGGAATATCAACAAAATTAGCACCTGTTTCAAGACAATGTATAAATGTAATGCGCATGACAAAGTTTTGCAATTCGTTGCAGGCCAGATGGCAGCGTAATAAACCGAAATCAGTGAATGTTTCGAACAGCTTCATCAATTCGTATTTGCCTTGTCAAGAATTTTGGTCGATCGATACCGAAGAACTGAGCAGATATTTGGAACCGTCAGCAAATCTAACCACTGATCAGCTGTAGATTGAAACAAAACTCATGTAATGTGTCACTGACTGAAAATAACAATCTTACTACCACTGTAATATTTGAAATGATAAAATCCAAATAATTTATCATGTAATATACAAGTTATTTGTTTCGTTCTTCTCATATATCGTTGATTGTATAAACCTCATAGGGGTAAGATCACCCATTTTGGGTAATTTGGAGATTTCAAGGGGTAATGGAGGGGATCGGGGAATTAATATTTTGTACAGCTGCCATGTTATGATAGAAATTACGATAAATAAATAAATGTTATGATGATGGTGTTAAATGTTATGATGATGGTGTTACATGTTATGATAAATAAAAACACCATTATGATGGTGTTTTTAACTCGGATATGTAATTGCGGTTAGTTGATGGCAACACTCTTCATTCTCTTATCAGCTCGTCCGGACCTAACATGGTTTTCATTCAATTTAACAGGGTTTTCATTCTTTTCCTTGCTGCTGTAATCGCTCTCATAGCTTTTATCACCAAAAATGTTCTCTTCTGCTAATTTCTCATTCATTTTATTCAACAGTTAAAGTCAAATTCTTATTCTATTAAATACACTCTATAATTGATCATTTGACTGTCGAACGTTGTTAAGCAATAATATTCGATTGCTGCATTGTTGTTTTCGGCTGTCAACACTCGTCAGCGCATCCAACAAATAGTATATGCTACTGAACAAGAAACCGATTCTAACTGTGAAGTGAAATGAGACGAACTGAATGAGAAAAAGTCATCAATAGAACGAAATTCGCATGTTATAGCTGTGAGAGTGAATACAACACGTCTGAAAAGAATGAGAAGCGTGCCATAGACAATAGCTTTTCATGCAATCATAATCGATTGCAATAATGAGCAGCATAACGGTCTAGGACAGTGGTTTTCATAGGAAATGAAATTACCCGTTTTGGGTAATTTGGGGGTGTCGAATGGGTTAATGGAAGGGGTCAGGAAATTTGTATTTCGGTCAGGAAATGAGTAAAATTAGTATTGATGCTATGCCGTGATGATGTAAAATAAATTTGATAGAATACGATAGTAAGTGGGATTGTTGTTGCATGAGATTCTTTTCAACGAAGATGAAATCGTTTTTACCAACACATGCGCGAATACGTCAGATATGTGGACATCGTACGTTGATATGAAGATGAACAGTTTACAAAGAAAGAAAGCGGACCACCCTCCCGAATTGATCTAAGCCATTCATGACCGTTGTAAATGCGAAAGCAGCATTTCATGATTTCAAGCCTAAACCTGATTGGAGATCGATGAAATTCAGTCAAAAGCAGTCCAACCTCTAATCAATTTGAAATGAAAGATGAGCAGTTGGGAATTCTATACTTCATTGGTTTTCGAATGTCGCGGCCATAATGGCAAACTTGTCAATGTCAATCGGCAGCTGCCGCATTGGCATTCGAAACACACTTCAACATACTGAAAACTGTTATCCCACGTTCCCTTTGTATCATATCGGTTTGTTCCTCGTGATTTTTCCTGAATGTCGAGATGATTATTTAAATAAAATTTCATTGCTGAATTACCCGTCGATCAGAATTGCAATTAAAAAACGGTCTAACAATAAGAATTTTGAAGAAAAAATCTATTCGGGGATTGAAAAGTTGCATCGTCTCATAATGAGAATATTTGAGCACATTTCGGAGCAATGCTCCATCATACCAGCAGACATACACGATAGTGTTTACTCACTTATCTGGCAACGAATGTAGCGTTCATAAAAACTCTATTATTATTTTTTTGCTTTCACTATCGTATCACTTTCAATCACTGAGCAAACACAGCCGTGAGCAACTTTCCTAGATGTCTTCATAGATGAGATGCAAACAATATCATGGTGTTGTTGCCTGTGCAGAAACTGTTTGAAAACCGAAAGGCATAAAAGGCTTAAAATCATCCAATTTGTCTCGAGATTCGCCCATACCATAGACAGTGCAATATTTTCCAGAAGTACGCCATTAAACAACCATCAGCGTGAGTGAAAAATGTTTTGAAGGGTGTTTTATTGGTGCTCTGATCATGTAAAGATGTACAAGCAATAACATTACATGAAAAGCAAAGCGCTCGAAATATGACTGGATCATTTACGAAGGTGAAAAGTATCGGTTCGACTGCAAAGTACAAGTCTCATCAAGATAAATATTTTCCGCACACGGAACAATACATAAATATCCGTTTGACAATGCTGATGCCTCAACAAAACAGAAATCATGCGCAAATAAACCACAGAACATTTGAAAAAGCTGTCAAAAGTGCGATGTGATTTTTTATTTGTTCGTTAAAATTATTTTCAACGTGAAACGTTTTTGATTCATTCAGCCCATCCAAATTCACAAATGATAACAAAAAACGTATATAAGCATGCAACGCAATGCCGAAAGATCGTATCAGTAAGCAAGTGCTCTGAATATCGCCAGCAATTTCGTCCTACCTCATTCTCAGAACTGTCAAAAATGGTTAGCTTCGAAGTGCGCCAAAGAAGGACTTCAATCGTTTTTGTGCTTTCAATAATTCTCGTCACCGTTACGAATGTCAACTCATGTAATGGTGGCATACCTGGCCCAGGTTATTTTTCTGATTTTGAATTTATCCACACATGAATTTATCCACACATTTTGAATTTATCCACACATGCTGGATCGGAACCTGGTGCTCGCTGATACGTCGAAGCGTTTTCGGTGATGTCACAAAAACCATTTGAATTGTTCGCCAACCAATGACGACTAAACGGAGTCAGGAAACATTCACTAAATTATTTTTTGGTGGATCGACGTAGAGACCTTGCCTTTCTTTTTTTTTTCACGACAGACTTCCTTCCTAAAGCGCTTCTGGCGAGGCTTTTGGTTAAGTTGATCTGTGTTTTGCTGTGGTAGGGCTACTGGAGTGAGCTGCTATCAAGATGCAAAAATGTCTTGTGAAACTCACAATACAAGAAAAACTGATGCAAGAATGTGATAGTAACTGCCATCGTGCTCATTATAGGCCAGGGTAGCACAATCACCGTCGAACTCTCGGTGTTTCCTCAGCTCTTATGGTTCTATCCGGGTCAAAACGTTCAAGGTGCTAGTGGAATATCGACTAACCAACAGAACGCTGCAAAAGCGGTCAGAAAAACAGTCACGGATATTGTAAGTTTCATGGCTCTTTCGAGATTTCCTCCCTTCAAGCAGCTACTGTGCATCCTCTTTTTGACCAACCTGAAATCCTGTTAGATCGCAAAACCGTCATTATGCTAAACTCTTATCTTTGTGAATGTTTTATAGTTAATACTAGTTTTCATTCATGTTTTAAAAGGGTTTTCATTCTTTTTCTTGCTGCTATAATCACTCTCATAGCTTTTATCACCAAAAGTGTTTTCTTTTGCCATTTTCTCATTCATTTCACTGAACAATTAAAGTCAAATTCTCATTCTATCAAATACACTCTGTAATTGATTGTTTGACTATCGATTGTTGTTGAGAAATTCAGTTCGATCGCTGTATTGTTGTTTTCGGCTGTCAACACTCGTCAGCGCATCCAATAAATAGTATAGGCTACAGAATGAGAAAATGATTCTAACTAAGAAGTGAAATGAGATGAATTGAATGAGAAAAACTCATCAATAGAACAAAATTCGCATGTCACAGCTATGAGAGTGAACACAACACGTCTGAAAAGAATGAGAATCATGTCATAGACAATAGCTTTTCATGCAATCATAATCGATTGCATGAATACAGAGGAATACAACTGTCTAAGAGAATGTCGATAACCATCATGAATGTGCTAATAAGATTGAACGTAATGGTCATCTGAACCTCAAAACTTCGTTTTGGCAATGTAGCGGGGGTCACTCGCTTTACACAGATCCATACATAGATGCTTGAGATGCATATCCTTAACAACGATCCAAAAGAACAAATTTCAGCTCACCTATGCAGCTAATTGGGCATCACTTTCTCGAAGAAGTATAGGGTCAGTGACGATACCAGAATTCACGGATGAACTTACTGGGAATGATTGTGTCGTATCACAATCTTTATACGCCTACCAAAAATGTACGATCGGTAAAGCTGGAACTTCTGCCATATGTGGTGTGAATTTTGCTCAGTGTCAACCAACAGAAAAGCAGGGTACGTTCACAGCTGAACTGACTGTAGTCTTGATGGATTGGCAAATAGAAAGTTTGAAGAAGGGCATAACGATTGGTATGCAGCAGTTCAATGTTCAAAATATTGGACCGGCAACCATTACTATCACATAAATTCGCCGTTGGTTCGATCAGAATCTGATAACCATCGGAGTTTCATTATCTTATTGATCTGTTTCACCCGATACCCCAGCATTCAATTAAATCCGTTTGAATTAGGCCTACTTTCAGGCTCAAGCCTCGCACTAAGCTTAAGAGACAGATTAAAACTAAAAGGAAGGGAGGGTGCGTCGGTACAATTCATATGTTCCCTCGTAACCTGGAAACTATACTCTTATATTCTGTTAACTGTTGACTGAATTTATTCTGTTGACTAAATCAGAACGTTGATTCGTCGAAGTGTTACAAAGTGTTAATCCTCATGTGAAAATATTCAATATCTTGATCAATACATTGTTGAATAAACTGAAATTTTTATTAATATTTTCATGAAAACTGAAATTTTTAAATTCTTATTCATAAATTACAGGAAATTCGTTGACTTTCCTCGGACATTTGCCTTCCCTTCATTGTGATAGCATTCCTTTTCTTTACAGCACTGAAATTGCGTTAATTTACTCTCACAATACACCCGTATTGTAATTCCAGTCACACAGTACTCTAAAATCATATAATTGACCAAGCTGATGATAATTCAATGTGTTACAATGCGATCTGCATTAGAGCACAGTAGCGGAAGGATAACATGTTCTGCGTACAATCACTGGAATGATTCGTGTGATTGGACCGGAACTGGAGTACAAAGGAACCCCGTATGCGATTGAATCTGATAATGTGTTAGAAGTAAAAAAAATGCGCTGCAGTTAAACCGATCAAAAATGATTCATAGCACTTCAAGCAAGCAAAAAACGGCACTGGATATAAGAGCATATGATGAGTGAATTGGAATATATAATTTGCGAGGAATCAGTATGCTTACACATCAGAAAAATACTAGCGCATAGTCCAAGTACGCAGGGATATGTGTGAACAAGCAGACACATCATGCAAATGCTGTCTTAGTGGTGGTAGACTTGGTTCGATTGAAGATTGCGATGATCTATAGCCGCCCCATTGGGAATTCGCTCATTCTGATCGTTTAAGCATTTCGGCGAATCATTTGGATTATCATCGCAACGATAATTCTCTCAACAGTTATCGTAGTCAATTTCTAGTGCTTCATTGGATTTCTAAAAGCCAAGTATACACATATACACACATATGTATGATGTATGTGAGCAGCAGCAACTAGCAACGCATGGGGCAAGAAGCGTTGTGTGGATACGGTATCTACGAGTGAATGAATATGTATTATGAAAATGTTCACTCAAATGTACTGGACTGAAACACATTGCAATTATCAACACATTGTGCGAAAATGAATCTTATTATCTGAGATAAGCATCCCGAAAGTCGACACTTAAGCAAGCAACTGCTTCCCGGAAATCCTTTCAACCGCACGATACACCAAACAAACATGAATGTTTTCACGGTATTTCACTGCACAAAGAGCGAGTTGGTATTTATTACTTCTTTCATGGCAAAAAAGTCAAAATAAACGAATTTTCTCCTATCCGGAAGCCATTCACTACAGAGGATGATGAAAAATATTACACAATGGGCTGAATATATCTTGAAAGAAAGCATTACGCATAAATATTGCGAATATATTGTCGCAAAATCACTATCAGACACTGATCTCACATTGCATTCTGTCCGTATCAAAAAATCCGAAAAGAAATTGAAAAAAACGGAATATCTCTCACTTTGAAAGTATTCATTCATTTCATAGCTGCAAATGTTAACCAATGTTTGCTCATCAGTCGAGTGCAACTGGATTACAAAAAAGAAGAAATAGCAAAAGAATTAATATCTACGGTAACAGTGATGACACGGTAACAGTGATGCTAATAATAGTAGTAATGTGAGCAATGAGCATAAGATTGTCGCTAATCGGAGTCACTGAAAACAATGCTCATGTATTGCAACGACACAACAATTGCAGTGCAATTCAAGTGTTAAAAAAACATGGCGCACATATGAACAAATAGTATTCGGAAATTTTATTCACAATAAAACACTTCAAGCATCAATTACCTATCAGTGATCGCTTATTTTTCATTCTTCTATTTTGGAACCAAATTTTCACTTGCGTTTCGGTTAAGTTCAGCTCTTGTGCCAGTTGATATCTAAAAATTAAAATTATATCTAAAGAATTGAAAAAATCAACCTCCGACTCCCCCCACCCCCACATCTCAACTACATCCTTGATCACCGAAAATAGAAAGGCGAAGGCTCTCGAGCTAATTTGATAATGTTGGCAAAACAACTGCAATACCTTCGAGGTCTGGACAGATATCGATTTTCGGCGAAATGTTTCTCCAGTTCCATCAGTTGTTCGCTGGTGAACGCGGTTCGTGGACGTCGCATTTTTCCTAACGTTTGCCACGCACCCACTGAAGATAGATAGCACTTGAGAGTCATAATTGGGCAGCTTTGAGCGTCAAACTCAAAGTTGCGGAAAGAAGAAAGGGGATCGAGTCCAAAAATGCATCAAACACAAAAGACGCGTTTGTCTGCTATTTTTTGCAAGTTGACGAACTCGCAAAAAAGGTGCTCATCGCTCAATACATGCCGATACAAAAGAAATTTTTAATGTGCCCCTATTGCTCGATGTTTGCATTCGCATTCATTTTTCATGATCTTAGCTTTAAAATATTGGAGTAGTATTTGACTGCTTATAAAAACTTCTGGAGGTTTTTTTTTCGTTCAATTCAAACTCAATTCACCAATATCAAAGCCAATTAGATCTGGAAGGTGGACGTTGAACATAGCAAAAGTGAAATGGAAGTAAATAAGAAAAGATGAACAACTCACAAGTGAGAGCGATGTGATCGTAAAGGAACGGTATAGTGGACGGATTGAGGATTGGATACGATATCTGGGGATGCGAGAAATTCATAGATAGTGGCGAGAGCTGTCGTTGACTCATCGAATTCGACGGAGACGTGTTACCGTGAGGATTACGATCAGCGCAAGTACGATCACCGTCATGGCTCTTTTGATCGTTTGTGATCGTGATCGGAAACTTTGTGCTAGCATTCGATGTATTGGCATCAACATAACGTGCTGTTGCCGATACTGACTGTGCAGACGAGCACGCTGAAAATAATCATTCTCGGAGTTGGATTTTCAATGGAGCACGTGAAACTATACTTCTGGGGTCGTTAAAAAATACAATACTCGCGATTTGAGGAAGTTTGAAGAAGTGCATCGGGTGGTTTTGCATCAAACTTGACATATTTTCGTGATATCGATGGTTCCGTTGGAATCGCTCTGGTACTGCTTGATAAGAGTTCAAAGTGGTTCCGTAAATTTTCACGATTTAAGAAGTGAACCCCAAATGTTACTAGTGAATGAGGCTTAGGGTAAGTTTAGTGGACCAAAATCCGAATTATTTTGAACTCCGATCCATCATCAAGATTATGAGATGTGTGATATTCTCACCTGGCGATCGACTATTATTAGATTCAGTCTTGGTGTGCAGAAGAGCATCAATTGATGTGAACATAATGCTGCTAGCAGAAACGGTGAATTAATTACGAGAGTAAAACAATAATCTGATGGAAACTTCTCCGAGTGAGAGCAGTGAAATATACAAACTGATTTGAGGAAGTGCTAAAACCGAAATTGGGATATCATATCTCATCAGTTCTAAGCTTATGTGTGTTCATCTTCTTTTGCTCTTTCTTCTAAAAGTGTTCTTGTTCTTAATTCGATTATGCTATCATTCATAATGTCCCTAGTGAATGAATATTGTTGATGAATGAATTTATTCAATCACTCTTGATATTTCTTTAAATAATATCAACAACAACTGCAATTCCAACCAATAGCCGCAATCATTATGAAACATTCTCTATTATGCATCATTATATCATTGCGCTCTCTCAAGCCTTCTCCCTATCTCGTAAGCATGCATGCGCATATATTCATTCATATAAGATACACAGTGAAGCGCCGCCGTCATAATCGTTTACAAGCACAGAGGCATTCACGCATAGATAGATGATGCACAGAAAATGTGATGCATGAATCAAAAGCACGCATGAGCGCAGTTCATTTCATATTCACTTTCATCTAAACGGCTAAAAACTTGTATGTGCATGTGATCATCTCAGTTACATTCGTTCGTAGAACAATTTACATTTACTTGCTTCGTAATACCCCGATGATTCGGCATTGATCTTCTGACACAGCTGGGAACGTTTGATGATGGAGACTAAATATTTGCTTGGATGCGCGAAATTGTGCGCTCGCATTGCCAGTTAGTGGGGCAACAAGATTTGTGCCCAATTCAAGCAATGAGCCTTTTGAATATAGCCCAGTGACATTCCCTCGAGGCGCTTGGGAAATGAATAAGTATTTAGCAAATCTAAAGAGTATTTGTTGCCATCGACACCAGCATTAAATTTCATCACACATTCTCATAGAAACTCATCTATCATTCATATTTTAAAAGATTTTCATTGTTCACAAATTTCACTTCCAAATTTGAATAGTTTATTCAATCTAGAAATCGGTTCTTCTTATGAATATGTGTACAATATCATTGCTTTTGTATTCACACTAATGACAAACAACAAAGCCGTTCCTTTCGTTTTTCACGTAGTCTCGTCGCATAAAGTCGAACGTTTTCCTGTCCATTCCTCAGAACGAGCGAGGAATGCATGAGATAACGTTTGCTCTGCTGAAGGAGAATAATTATGCTATCATTAGAGCAAAAACAGTTCCAATAGCAAAACATAATAAATCGCACGGATTGTCTCAGGCATTACAAGACGCAACTAATGTCAATATTCTTGCCTCCACATTGCATTGGAATTCGTGAGCTGAATACGAGACGTGTTAAGTGCTCATTAACAATAACTCATCATGTAACATTAACTTCTCGAAACTTATTTACACCAATCATTTAACAGGATGAATAGACGAGAAGTATCGAGCGTCGTTATTGAATGTGATATGCAAATTATTTGCGTGTCTTTAACACACTTATCGTTAATTTGACCATTGCTCATTAATAATCAGTCAATCGCTCTTAAAATGCGGTGTTTTTGACTGTTTAAGGATTTGTTATTTGTTATTTGCATCGGTGGTATACCGTTGAGAATTGTTGCTGTGAGGCATCAATAAAGGAAAGCGAAATTCATAATTGACTACTGCATGGTAATTAGTGCATATCGTCAGAGTGATGCAACAAATTGATATTTTTGATCGATGCTTCTTTTGATCCATAACAAACTCGATGTTGCACACAAAGGGCCATGAGGAAAATCAATTCTATGAGCTGAATACTCCTCATGGATTCTCCGAAAAGACTTTCTGGAGCTTATTCATTGTTTCATGAGCCATTCGTTACGATAAACATGCACATTTGAGATTTAGGATTCCGTAAACTTGGTGGCAGTTCACCAAATCCTTCTCCGAATAAGATGAGAGTTTTTATTGTTGAACCAAATGACATGGAGCATCAAAAGATTGAGCGAAAACTGACTGGTTCACTCTGAAAAACGGTTATCATTTCACGATTTAAATTGCATTATAGCATTTCATGATATGGTGCATTGTTGAGGTGGTCCGCCGAATATTGACTTGTGTGTTTGTTGAACGGACTGCAATTCGAATTCTTTCTTCGCTAATTCATCTTTCCATTTTTTTGTCTGTTTTTCTTCGTCAGCAAGTCTTATCTTGAGCTCGTTCTCTGTATTCTTCCTATAAATTTCAACACTCTTTAATGAACTTCCTCATGGCTCTTCAGCAAAACAATCGTCTTACCATGGAGTTGTTGATGATCAGCGCATCACAATGAAGTGACCATCTCTCATCAAGATGTATTAATTAACAAACCAAAAACAAACAGTCGAATAATATCTGATGAGGAAATTGCGTAACTATAGGATTTCGAAAAAAGTTGAGCAGATTTTAATTTGTGACAGGCGTGAAGTCTGGATACTTCAGTGAAGGAATGGCAATGCAGTTATGCTGTCATTAAACAGATTTTTTCTTACGAGCAATCTTGAATGAATATTTGAGTCGTAAAAAATTATTAGCTCCGTATATTTATGGTGTTACTCTGTGAATATTCAAAGAAATCGATCGAATGAATCCAAAGTCATCGACTGCCCACAGGAATTGAACTATGGAAGTACAGTGGATACCTTGATTGAAGTGCTCTTTTCAGGAAAGATTTCAGTTTGATTGTTTGTTCAGTATTAGCCCTTATTTCATGAATGTCTGCTTCTAACATGTCAACCAGATTCTTCAACTCTTTAACGCGATCCGAGCCAACTGTTGAACTTTGAGCCATTACACTACAGAGCAAGTCATTTGCGCTTTCTGTCTCCTTGAAATATATTTAGAAGTAAGCAGTTTATTAAGTTTCGAATTGGTCAATCATGTTCATAGCAGCACAATGGAAAGATCCTAAGAACTAGTGCTGATCCTTCAACGAGTGCACATAATTTCGGCGTTTATTTGCAGTAACACTGCCTCATATTATCGAAACATAAAGGATCAATAGCATACGAGCATAAAGGGATAAAGTAATCATGCAAGTAATACATACAAAAATTGCATTTCATCATGCGAATTAATAAGGCAGCAGTATCCTTGTATATGTATACGTCAACAGCTAATGTACAAAGCAAAGGTTAACTCATAGAGCACTGCTACTGGTCGTACTATTCCTGGATTACGTTTATCCCTCTGACGAATCATATCGTTCGCGACAATCAATACAGCGAATCAAACAAATACTTTCACAACACTGATCATTCATGGAAGGTGTCATATAAATAGAAGGTGTCATATAAATACCTAGTTTCACTAGTTACAATAGAACTAGTGAAAGATTCTCCAACAAGCTGTATGGAATATCCCTGTCATAGAATATTTGTTAACAATGAATAAGAAATCTTATTACTCGCACAGATAAGCAAACTACTAACTGGTGGCCACGAACACCAGCTAATTGCTTGCTCTTTGAATAAATGCAAAACAAAGTCTCTCTGGATCAAAAATCCGTAAAAGGTTGGCGAAAGTCAGCTTAGTCCCAAACGTTATTTTGATTCGTGCCTGAAGGCAGCCAAGAAGGAATCAAACGAAACAACTTCGAAACCTTTTCTTTTCCAATGTATTCACTATATTCAATATTCATGAGCATTGTACTGAGCCGTAAACGAATCGTTTGTACATTTTGAACGTTTTTTGCGCTTTTGTGCTTCCACACACTTCGCTCATCGCATCCATCTGGTAGCAGTATGGCTTGAATGGACAGTTTATGATATGGATGATATCGATTATTCACCAGTTCAATTGTAACCTAAACAAATAACAATAAGGAATGGTGCGTTTCAAAATAGAGGCGAAAATTATCGCAGAAGTTTCACAGCTGCTGGTAATCGGAAACATTATTCGATCAAGGGGCTATGAGAACACTGCATGCAAGAACGAAATACAGTAATAAATTGGCGATTGCTGCATTAGAGAAAATATAGTTTTGAGGCATGGTGAAGCGCACTTTAATGTTTTCATTGTCATGAAGGATACCACAGGATGGATAGACAATATATCTGGTCGGAGCATTGGTTCTGAAACGCCATGCAACTTTCTTGTTCACAGAAACGGAACGTCTTATCATTAATTCTTCTTTCGCATCGTTTAACTGATCCACATCGAAACAGATGAATCTCTGAAATGTGCGAGAATTAGCACAAGATATATTTTTGAATAATGCACTTCAAATGAGGATATCTGATGTTTGTGTTTCAAGTGTAATGTTCCATTCCTGTTCCATTTTCAGGATTGAACAGAGCAGTTAGAAGGGCGGAACTAACAATATAGGACAGCTTTTAAAGCTGAAAGTCGACAAGCGAACAGTTCAAAGGACAGAGCAGAATAAAACAGGATAGGACAGTTGAAAAGCGGAACTAAACAGAATAGAACAGTTTGCCGAAGCAGTAATTGGAGCAATAGGTGACAATATAGAGTAATTGGGACAGGCTCATTCAACTGAAGCGATTAGCTTTTTGATTAAGAATCATACGCTGAAACTACTAAGATGCGCCAATCTCGATTTAGAAGAGATGAAGATTATTGTTATTCGAGTAACATCAATAAAAGGTAAGCGAACACACTAAACCAGTTGGAACGGACATCAAAGTGATGAAAGAAATGCTGCGAGAAAGTGCAAGACGACGGACAAATTCAGGATGGTGGCAAGTATTTATGGTAATAATGGATAACGAACGATAGATCCGAAGCTAACCTGATCGACATTAATCAAATGGACCGATTGCGTGTCACGCTCCTCTTCTGAGAATTCACCACGCACAAAATCATCCGTCTGATGTGGTGACGAATCAGCCATTCACCAACAAAAAAATTATGAACAATTGATGGAATAGCAGACAAAATGTTTTCCTTTCAGTCCAGCCAGGACAAATTGCAAAAATCATAAGTTACACAAACAAATTGCAGCACTTTGCAAATTTTCATAGGCAATGTTGGTTACCTTGATAAATTTAAGCACCATCTGCAGCTCCTGCTCTCGAATTATAGATCAATATCAATACGTTACTATGGCTCTATACAGTTTACCATCTTCAAGGTAACCGTACTCTCAGCTTTGCCCGGTAACATATAAATATCCTTGCACCATTAAATTGCTCAGAATTTCAGAATATTATAAATTTTGCCGAGCAATTATCATTAGATGAGGAGATATAGCTATTTTATCAATGATATACGGTTTGCCATCTTCCAGCCCACCGTACCATCAAGTTCGCCTGATAACATGTGGATATTCGTAAAACAGTCGATCCACCTGAATCTCTACATTTAGAAAAACATATATTTTGCCGAGCGATTTTGCTTACTTGACGAGATATAGCCGTTTTATTAGATCCATCTAAAATAGATGCGCAGTCGCGCTCATTCATACAAATTGATCACTATAGAGCAATTAATACGTTCATATTAGTAATTGGCGGATTGCAATCTTCGAGCTAACCTTCTTCTCAGGTTTGCCCGGAAACATGCGAATTTCTTTTCATCGTTCGATCCACCAGAACTTCTAGATTCAGAATATTATAAATTTTGTCGAGCAATATGGCTTAGTTGAGGAGATATAGGCACTTTATTAATGTTATCCCGGGTGCCACCTTCAAGGCTACCGTCTTCTCAAGTTTGCCCAGTAACAAATGAATTTTTTTGTATCAGTCGATCCAGCTATATCTCTTCATTCAGAAAAACATATATTCTGTCGAGCGATTTTGCTTTCCTGAGAAGCTATAGCCATTTAATTAGATCTGCCTCAATTCCATAGCGCAATCGCGCTCATTCAAACAAATTGATCACTATAGAGCAATCAATACGTTCATATTAGCAATTGGCGGGTTACGATCTTCGAGCTAACCGTCTTCTCAGGTTTCCCCGGAAACATGCGAATTTCTTTTCACCGTGCGATCCACCAGAACCTCTAGATTCAAAATATTAAAAATTTTGCTGAGCAATTTGGCTTAATTGAGGAGATATAGGCATTTTATTAAAGCTATCTCAACTAGCGCTGAGGTGCTCATTGATATGCATTAGATCAGTATAGATCAATGGATATTATACCTTACTATAGAAATACAGGTTTGATAAATTCAAGCCTAAAGTCTTCCCAGGTCTGCCTGGTAACATATTAATATTTATACACCATTCGATTGAGCAGAACCTCTGCTTTCTGAAAATGAAAAGTTGCTGAGAAATTCAACCTCTACGAGGAGATATAGCTATTTTCCTGATGCTATAGGGGTTAGCACATTCAAGCCTACCGTGCTCTCAGCTTTGCCCAGTAACATAAGAATTTCTATACACCGTTCGATCCAGCGGAATCTCTGCATTTAGAATATCATGTATTTTGCTGATAAATTCCGCTATTTTGAGGAAATATGGCTATTTTCATAAACCTATCTCAACAACAAGCTCAAACGCGCTCATTCATGTACACTCTATCACTATAGATCAATGTCAATAGGTTACTATAGCTCTATAAAGGTTACCATCTTCAAAGTAACCGAACTCTCAGGTTTCACGGTAGCATATTAATTTCTTTTCCTGCTGATGCGTACCACACTGCTGGTTAAGCGGGACATTTTCAATGCTCTGACAAATTTAAGGTTCTCTTGCCGCAGTGCTCATTATTTTTCTCATCCCATGAGCTTTCTTGATTCCGAGACTGCAATCTTAGATTACAGCGATCGTGCCATTAACAATCTGATTACAAGTTCGACAAGAGACATTAATTTCATTATTTTCACTTCAGAGAAGAAATCAGTTCGAAACCTACACTCTTTGCGTGGTTAATAGGCACTTACTGATAAGTTCTGATGAACAAATAGGCATAATTAGCCTAATGGGCACTTTCGTAGACTTCGAGAATGAAATTTAGATGCTAATTCATTTATCGCGAACTTGCTCTCTAATTGCTTTCAGCTGTTTAACTTGCTCTTTAACTTGCTTTCAACTTGCTCTCTACGGCAAGCTTTTTCAGCCATTTAATTTCGTTATCCTGGAAAAACTTGGAACTGTATTCGCCAAAATCTTTGCTTCATAATTCAGTAACGACTGCGTACAACAAAATATATCAAAAAGCATCAATTCTATTAGAACGACTTATACATCAGCTAAGTGCATAATTTGTTATGTGAATATAAATAAAACACTCCATCATCGATGGAGTCAGAATTAAACAGAACGAATTCGCATGCAGTTATTCTCTCTTGTAATCACTTGTAGTCATTTTTTTCAAGATTTTAAATTACAGGTAACAAAGATGTTAAATTATTAAGCAAATGTTAAATTGCAGGTTAAATTATAGGTGATTATTAAGCAAATGTCAAATGTTACGTGAGCTGTTAAATTATATAGGTGATAAGGCAAGTGCAATGAGCTGACAAAGCTTGACGCTTCTAGGAATGCAGGTTTCGAGACGCTCGTTTGAAGTTTGAGCTTGTAGCATTCGTGTTCAATTCCACGTTTACTTTATATATTTCGATCGATGCCAATTGAGAGATTTAGTCAATTTCGTATTTATTTGATCTTTCATTGATAGATGAGCGTTGAGTTATCCATTTCACCAATTGAGGTGAACTACACCACTAAGTCAGCTGATTGTGAAAGTAAAAGATTTTTCGGGCTTTCGATTCACAAGATTTGCTACATGTCAATTTGCGAGGACAAACTGATTTTGACTTCTTTGTTAATATCCACTTCAAGATCCCATTATCACTGAGTGTGTTATTGGGTTATTGAACTTTCGTTGCGTGAATCCAGCTTCAATATGTGGAATGAAGATGCCATGTTCCCTATTTCATTCAGAGGAAGTCTATCTGAGTGTTGCTGTTGTGATCTCGAAAAGTGTTTGGGTTTTTCGATTGAATTCACTTCAAAAATGCCCTTCACGTTCTTCACGCCCGACAGTTTATCTAATCTAGTTTTGATTCCAGCTTAAACTTGACCTTCGAAAATCTTGGTGCAGATCTTACCTAGTATATTGTTATCATTTATGATGAATGCCGAAATGTAAAATTCTTCCGTGTGAACACACTGGCCCAATGGCATTTAGATGTCGTCCACTCGAAATAAACTCATTGTCGGGCGTGAAAGCATAAATTTTGGCTTAAAGAGGGTTTAAATGCATCCTTCTGAGTCTATTAAACCCTGTGAGTTTCGCAGATTCCTCGTAAACTCTGTCTGTGAACGTCTGTTGATCAATATACAATGATCTGTTGACGTTTCTAAATGAAACTTCTGTTGCAGTTACTCCTGCCGAAGCACACACAAGAACAAGCAGGCAAAAATGGATATGGTCTGGTTGATAAGGATTATTGAATCACCATCCCTAAATGAGACGCATTTTAATAAATTACATGATTATATACAAACTTCATCAACGCTCATTCAGACGCCCAGTTGTACTTTTGAAAAAGACGGTGTTATATGCGGTGAGCTTTCGGCTTCCATTGGTTCTTTATGAGCATCGATAATATGATAGAGTTAGATGAAGGACCTCAATTTTAAACGAGTTTTTGCAACAGAAGATACACAGCACAAGATATAAAACTCTTGTGAGAATTCATGTCTTGTAACGAGAGATGTCTATTGTAAAAGGAATTATGCACTGTAGAATTGAGCCGTTGGTTGCCGAAATTCGGCGACCACGGACGCAAGAGGGATATTCTCTAGTGTAGTGATTCTCACGTTTGGGTGCTCCATTATCCCTTTCGATGGTCTGGCAGGCCGTCATTACCCCTTTCCTTCTCCCGGTGCAAGAACTCATGCATAATGTCAGGAGCAAATAAAAAGTGATCAGGAAATTTCTCAGTGACGTGAGAAATTTACTTTTCTGCCATGAAATAAGTATTTTTAGAAGTTTACTTATCAAATACAAAAATATTGTAGACCTCATCAGCAATTAACAACGAGAAGCGTTGCTATAACAACGAGAAGCGTTGTTAATCGGTGACTATTGAGGATCAAATTTCATTGTAGCTAAAAAAAAGTTGATTTTCGATGCCTATCAACCAAAAACTAAAAGTGACTGATCATTCGGTGGCCACTGAAAAAATTTTCCAATTCCTGGCTCTAATAAATTGGTTTACGAGAACGCCTGTTTACGGCTGTATATCACTCTGGTGCTTGAATGTTTTAGGAAGGTAGCAAAAAAAGTTGTGGGTAACTGAGTGCAGCAGGTATCCCAGTTAGTTTCATTTTATGATCACTAGCTGTCCAGGACTTTCTCTCTCTCATAAAATTATTGTTTTAGATGATTGGTGCCGTATTTCTCAAAACATTGGCAGTTTGAATTAATTCGTTTCAGATGCATTTTTCCGGCGTGAAGGAACGTTGTACGGCTTAGTTGTGGTACTGATATCCTTAACTTCTGTATTATACATATTGTTTATTTCGATAAAACTTCTGAAGAGACGCACAACAATTGTTCTATATACAATCAATATGTTCATACCAACGCTGTTCGTTGTACTGTTGCAAATGATCATCGAAGGCCAACTTTATCTGAAATATTACGGTTTAGAATCAGCATCATTCTCGTGAGTTTTCAGTGCTAGTGATTCGTTAGTTCACACCAATTATAAGTAATCCGACATTTCTTTTAAAACCAAAAATTCTCAAGTGAGATTTTATCCTTTTACACAAACTGATCCCTGGCTGCCACTGAACCGAAGAAATGCAACTACTGAATGTTTCGGTTTAAAATTGCCCAAAAGTAAGCTTAATAATTGTACACTCAGCAAAACAGCCTGAACATCGTTCATTTCTGAAACTTTTGATTCAGCAATCCAACAAACAGATTATTTGAAA